ACCCGGTTGGTTTTAGCTGAATTGGTATTGGGTGATGATTAGAAAGAGAATTCACTGACTTTTATAGGGACACTGCGATAATCTGAAGGCATCGTCCAACTTCAGACGAGATATGCTAATGGTAAGAAAACCCTGTGTTCTGTACGTCTTGGGAATTGTCGGATCACGCCTCATATCTTTTACTATTAGAAGCAGATTTCTCAACCCAGCAAGGCGCACCAGGACCGAAGCTGGTAGTCGTAATGGGTAATTTATTATTATGGATTGTTGGAATTAAGCTTGGTTGAAGTAATGGATCTTGTACTGAACTTGATCTGCGAATTACAGTCGGACTCCCTGCCAGAGGCAAATCGTATATCGTCAAGAAACTCAAACGATACCTGACATGGCTACAATATGATACGAAAGTAATAGGAGGATGAAATTTATTCTCTCGATGATTCTATAATCGCCTATAAATCCCACAGAAAGGCTCATTTTTTATATCGATACCTTAGATTTTTAACGTCGGAAATATCCGCCGTAATAGTAACGCGACAAAACGTCTGTTGGAAGTCCCAGAACGGCTCGGCCAAACAAGACACTCGGCAGCCTTTTTTGACCCGGATAATAATGACGCAAGGAATCTAAGAGACAAGATGGCATTAGAATGCCTGGACGAATTGATTGACTGGATGAACAGTGGCGGAAGGGTTGGCATTCATGGTGAGTTTTCTATTGCATTCAGTTGCATATAGATATGAAAATGATAAATTATAAAGAGTAATTCCGTCCCCCTCCCCCCTCCCCCCTCCCTTCCTCCTTTTTTTTTCCAAGATGCGACAAATTCAACGGTGAAACGAAGGTAGACATTTTTGCAGTAATTTGTAAATAGAAAATGTGTACAGTGGTTCGTGAATTGATAGTACGATTGTTATTTAAAAGAAAACTGATACTAGATCATATCCAGAAAAACTTATCGTGCAAGGTTTTGTTCGTAGAATCAATATGTAATGATAAGAAGGTTTGTTCTTATATAATACGATCTAGTCTTTTATTTATTCGAGTTGACGTGTTGAACTTCCATGCTTTTGCTTTACAGACCGTTGAAGCAAATATGCGATTGAAACTATCGGGTCCTGATTACAAGAACATGGATCCTGATGAAGCGCTCGATGACTTTCGGAAGCGCGTTGTTAATTATGAGAAAGCTTATGAACCTATAAGTGAGGAGGAGGAACAAACCGATATGCAATATTGTAAACTGATTAACGTGGGGAAAAAGGTTGCTAATTTACTTTCGCCTGTGAAAATTTCTTTTAGCTCGATAAAAATGACTAACGCGGTTAGTTTGCAGGTGATCGCGCACAACATTCAAGGATACTTGAGCGGACAATGTATTTTCTATCTTATGAATTTTAATCTTGTTGGTAAGTTGTATTTTATTAGCCATTTTATTTTATTTTATTTTTTTTCTCACAGCTGTTCAAATAACAGAACGTCAAATATGGCTGACAAGACACGGCGAAAGCACAGACAACATAATTGGCAGAATAGGTAACTTTTCCCGTTTCAAAAATCAAACAATTCGAGGGTTTTCCCTGTTTCATTCATCTTTTATAATTTGTAGGCGGTAATGCATGTCTTTCTGCGAGAGGACGTCGTTTCGCTGAATGCCTAGCAAAATTCATTTCCAAACAAAAAATTGCATTCCGTCAACAGCAGTTGGCTAAATACAAAGCCGACGTTGAAGCTGAGCTGCAATCGGATCCTTTAGCAATTCCTGCATCTGAACCGCCGGAGAAGAGTTTCCATGTATGGACCAGTCTGTTGCAGAGAACTATCGACACCGTTGAGCATATCGATCCGAAAGAGTTTGGTATAATGGTAATCACTAGATTCCTCTTGTGATGTGGCATATAATTAAAGACTATTAAGAAAATTTAAAGATTCTGTTCCGGTTTTTTTTTTTTATTTCAGCATATTCGATTCCTTAATGAAATATATGCGGTAAACAATCTTTTTTTATTAGTGGGTGGTTTTTAATTGCTTTACGGACTCTTCTCAATTGACAATATATTTTTTCTGAATTTAGGGTCTTTATGAAGAGATGACGTATCGCGAAATTGAACAGCTCTATCCAAAAGAATACAATGCACGTAAAAACAACAAGCTTTATTATCGCTACCCTGGAATGGGTGGTGAATCGTACTTGGACGTAATTCACCGAGTGAATCCGCTTATTGTCGAGCTCGAACGGATGACCGATAACATCTTGATTGTAACACATCAAGTTGTCTTGAGGATAATTTTAGCATATTTTTTGGATGTGGACAAAGAACATGTACCAGACATGCCGGTTCCTTTACATACAATTTATTGTCTGGAACCCAAGCCATACGGTAACTTTTCCCAAGTGATCTGTAACTACAATCTGAATACAATTTTTGATAATTTATTCTCAATATTTAGGAACAAAATTGACAAAGTGGAAATATGACGAAGACACAAACTGGTTCCTCGAAGAAGAATAATGATATTGATAAATAGTTAATGATGGAATTAAATTTACAAACACGTACATGGCAGCGAAGAATTAAAAGGCTTTGAAGAGAAAAAACAATTATTGCGAATAACTTAATTATTTTTATATTACGTTGTCAGGTCGTTGAAATTACTCAAAGATTGGAGATTATGCGTATTACTCAATCTAGTCCCGATTAGTGTCATGAATTCAATCGTTTGAGCATCTGGGCTTGTATGCACAGATGAATGAACGACGACTAGTCTCACACGACTATCGATTCTTAAATAATAAAAAGTCGTTTTCAATTCCTTGTCAGTTTCATGTATTGGTGTTGGTCTCTGCGGTGATACTGTTGGCTTGCGATCCGCTTGCAATAGCTTAGAGACCATGCTAGACCAAAGTTTATCATCCTTAGAGTGTGATATTTGATCCTGGTGGATATGGGAAGAGTCGAATCAATATATGCTGCATTTGATGAGCGCTGAAACAATTACGAGACATTATAATACCTTGGGATAGCTATAAATACACCGGAATCGATCTATGTCCGACTCTATTATTGCTGGTTGCTCTCCGTCGCAGATATATCCATACGGATAAAATGGAACATCATCCGTTATTTCATACACTAAGGCAACACACAAGGCGTTGGATGTCTTTCTGAAATTTGTTATCCTTACAGTAAAGGAAAAAAAAAATAAAAACTAGAAGTTATTTCATATTCCGTAATTCCTTGAAAGAACTTGAATTTGGGTTTCAAACTTACTCTCCATGATAATCAAATTCAACACGGTTCCAAATACTGTTAAGACCTCCTTTATCCCTATCTATCAAAATTTGCATAAAATATAAAGTCATTTTTGCAGTCAGGTCGGCATGGAATCTGCTCATCCATTGCACTAGGTTAGGAGAACCGCTATTTCGTCTGGCAGGTTTGGAGTTCCTCTAAAAATATTGATGTATGAGCGCGTGTATAAAATGAAAACGATCCACTAAAACGTGATTACTACCTCAAAGAGATACCAGGTGAAAAGTCCGCGCGGATAATCCTCTGTCCTGTTTTCAGATTTCTATTCGAAATCGCCAGTCAGATTTAGCACAATTTCGAAAACAGGTATGCAATAACATGATACTCGATTTCCCAAAAATTACCTCTGCATACTCCTGGTTAGAATATATTTCTCTCCACGCCGATAATTTTATCTTGGCTGTGTAGAGTTTTACAATGGTATTCTTCAAGTTGTAAGATGTTAATCCTTTGTGCGCAGCGAGTAGTGATTCCATTATCAAAATTTCATGCCTATGACGTAAAAGTAATTCTCGGTGAGCAATGATTCGTTATTAATCAATAAAACCTTTCCCCTAGTAATCATAGCACGACTTACTCAAGCCCACTCATTAATATGCCCAATTTGTTCAAGAATGGTTCTTTTTCAACTTCTTCTTTAATTGTTTTGATCTTCTCAAGAATGGGCGTAACATCGTCAAGATATGGATGACTCTGTGTCAATCGATAACTAAATCATAACCAAAATAAAAAACGTCTGAATAACGGATGGTGGAATGAACACTGCAGATATACTGTGATAGCATACACTTCATTCATGTGCTGTCTACACTTTGCAAAGCAACTCAGTGCTCTGCATACATCAGTCATGTAATTCGCGTCCGATTGAGCGGGTGCCCCAGCTATTTGGGCAACCACCTTCGCATGTATGTCCTTCACTGCATCAGCGTATAGCATGTCTAGGAACTTTTGTGTTGTCAGTCTCTAGATTTTATCACAGCGTCAATCAATTCTGATAAAGCTTACATCCTTGCTTCGCCATAATTTCGATTTTAGTGAATCCAACGAAGTATAACTCTGTTCACAACGTGATAATGCTAGAAGAACAGTACTTGCTCCTGGATTTATCTACAGAAGATAACACGTTATCGTTAATCGGACACGAAATTATGATTTTCTTTTTTATTATCTAGAATGTACCTCTTTCATTTTCCCTGCCACTTTGTTGGCTGCTTGGTAGTCGAAGCATCCAGTGGCTTGAAAATAACTCTTGAATATTTCTTCCATTGTGGTGAGCTCTTTCTTAGCATTACCGGCAGGTGGTTTTTCTTCCATAATATGAAATTGAATTCCGAATGTCAAGGATCATATTTATCTTCATGACAAGTCACATGGACATTATTTATGTTCACATGAATTGTTTTTACCTTAATTGTTTCATCCAAGATTGCAACCGGGTTTTTTTATGTCATTATCTGTATTGATTTATACCATTACCCCTTTGTTATGTACTTTTTCACACATCAAACAAAGATCAATGGTAACACTAATGAATTTTTGGATCCCGGTACACATAACATGTTTAATTTAGTTTACTACTTTAATCCATTCCATAGCGATAGGCGACGACAAATTATTTATTGAAGTTTCTAAGCAAAAAGATTTGTCAGCATGCAAAGTTTCAATTCTCTTATGCGTAAATTCTCAATATTTGCTAATGACAAAGAAGTTAGACTCGACTTGATATGCGCGTTTGATTTACAAATTAAAAGCTTTGGCCATACAGAACATTCCCATAATCAACAAATGATCTTTATTGGGCGCATAATCAACAAATGACGTCATCATTTACCTTATCTGAAGTTTAAATAAAAAACCCCAGAACCAGACAAACAATAAGCGTAATAAAGAGCACTAAACTTGGTCACTTAATTGATATAAAAAATTAAGTTCCCAACAATAATTTCGACAAAGAACTCTTCATTCGTTCCTTTCACTGACAAGGTGGGGGGATCCCAGTGGAGCATGCATGTCATTATCAAGGGAGTCATAGCGCGCAACTCCAAGCCCGTCAGTCTTTCTTTCTTCCTTCTTAAAAGGTAGTAGAGTTATAGGTCTGCGATGACGTCGAGTGTTACTATTCCTGTGACTACGCATCAAACAACTTTGCTGTAGAAGGCAAACTGCGCATTTGCCCGCAATGGAGAAGAGTTTGCAATATGTCATGACGTTTGAACGTTTTGAGTGAGCTTTTGCAATTCATAACAACGCATAGATTTCAAAAACGATCCTGTTGAAACCTAGTTACGATTCATCGTAGGAACATTGTTGTGAAAGCCTTGTCTTGCGCAAGCATTGATAAAATGATTATGTAATGCACACGCTCTGTATTAACATTGTCACAGTGCGGTCACACTCACTTCTAAAACACTTGGCGACGAATGGTATAATACCACGTGTTCATGGTAACATAAAACGAATATAGAAACTATGTAATGACAAGACCGTGCGCCAACCTCATTACGATTAGTTATAATGCATTATACTATAAAGCTGAAGGTGTTGGCTGAAGAAGCCGGCCGCTACTCAGTGACGTATTTGCATCGTCGTTGCAGAGAGTTAGGCTGCAGAGAGTTAGGCTGCAGAGAGTTAGGTTGCGGAGATAGTTGAATTGAAAAAAAATCGCTATTTGGCCAAATGACGACGAGTTTGCATTTACGCCATTGTTCGAGTGACGACAAGATTGCATTTGTATTATCAACGGAAATGATAAGCTCAGCTGTCGAACCGATGATGACGATTGTTTCGCATTTGTGTCGTCATTTGCTGAGGTGTTCAGCCGGGAGTCGGCTGAGAAAGTTGGCTGAGGGACGTCTTATTTTAATCATATTGTTTATCCACAACTTTGGGAAAAGAGGCCCCTTCAAACGGCAGGGATTTGGTTCCATAATATTCGAAATTAAAACTTACCAAGAAGGTAAACCCACGAAGTTAACAGCTAATATTAAAAATAGACTTAGAAAATAATGATGATAATTTTATTATATATTTTATGTAATAATTCTTATTAATTGTATAATGTACACAAAAGCTATGTCATTAGCTATTCTGATCGTATGATGGATTACAGGCGATTATTATTTTTATCTTCGACAAAGGAAGGTAGGATTTGATTAAACTAAAATTGCTTGTTTTTATTATTATATATTTTTTCAATAGCGGATAATTTTAAATATAGAAATGTCGGATAAGGGCAATTTGAAGTAGCAGAGACAGTTCTCCACCTTCTATAGTTGCTTCAAGGAACAAGGGTCGTTCTTTCGGCCTGTGTCTTCCAAGTTGTCTCTGTCATTCTTGAAAGCTGTCAGACTGTGTACAATGTTAGTGCTTTATATCTACGAAATTTTGTTAAATTTGCATTAATTTTACTGGCACCTCACATTTTGTCATTTCAGCAAATACGTGGAATTAGTATTGGTTACGTAAAAATTAAACCAGTCGTTTTGATGAACGAACTTTGAACAAAAGATATTTCGGCAATTACTGTTTCAAAACAAACCAAATTTAATTTGTTTCAAAGATCGAAACTTTAGCTTTTATTTGTTAACGTCAATTTGTCTCAGATTGTCAGCCTGTAAATGCAAAGCCCGCGCCAAAAACTTATTGAACGCCCCACCTGCTGTCTATTATTCGCTATAATACACAGTGAAACTCGATAAGTCGGACACGACGGGCTGGGCATGGCTGTCCGACTTATCGAGAAATCCGAGTTA